AGCAGGGGGAGTGGGAGAGGGAGAAGCAGGCTTCCCGCCCAGCAGGGAGCCTGATGTGGGGCTCGATCCCAGGACCCTGGGATCATGACCTGAGCTGAAGGCAGACGCTTAACGACTGAGCCACCCTGGCGCCCCCAAAACACTACTTTTTAAAGTGGTAGTAAGAATGATGATAATAAGACGTAAGTAGACTCTTGAAATAAATTCTCTCCAAATTTATTGCAAAAAGAGAACTTATACATGCACATTATCATGGACAAATAACTCATAAGTCAAAAATTGTAATCACAAGTTTAAAACTATTTAGGATTATATTTAAACAAAATTTAGTAACAGCATGACAAATGAGCAGACACAAAATTTAACTTTGACATTTGATTTTTTAAATTAGAGAATATGCAGGTAAAGACACTTTTTTGTTTTGTTTTTGTATTTACTAATAAAATTCTTATTATTTATATAACCATTGGTTGTTCTGGAATGTATATTAACATTATTTGCTGAAAGATATTTTAAAATAATTACTTGTATTACTCATAGTGAAAATCTGCTGCCAAAGAAGATATGATGCAAATATATACAACAGAGGCTTCTAAAGTTTTAATTGAGTTTCAATTATGGGTATTGGAGAAATTACAATCAGAATGGGAATCCATTTATATTGAACAGATAGTCATTGAGCACCTACGATGGGTGTACATTAAAGCTGACAATTTCTGTCCATTTAAATAATATTCACATGAGATACTGCTTTCAACAGCACTTTGTGATGCTTCCTATTGTGGAAATAAAAAACTATCATTCTAAGCCAATAAAACTGTCTATGAACCAAATGACTGAATACTGGCTGAACCCACACTAATACATCAGAGAAATTAGAAGCTCTAAACACTTTTTGGGAAATCTATGGCCTTCTAACTCTGTCAACATAGATCTACGTATGGAATAAACTTGGCATTTATAGGTTGTGACCTTTTAACACTGTGTCCTAGCGAAAAACAGTTATTAACTGCCTATATAAGCCTTTAGATTAGTTTCAGTCACCTTTTCAAAGAGCAAAGAATACATTGGCTGAAATGTTCTGTGCTTGTTGTGGGGAGGTGGAATAGGTTTGAAGAATGGCAGAAAAAAGACAGTATAAATGATAAAGAACATAAGTTGCATAAGGATTTTTAGCATGGATGAATAGTCTAAAAGATTATTTATATTGTGGAGTACATTGAAGTTAGATAACTGGCTTACAGATGAATTATAAATACATAGGAGATCTAATGCGTCTGTCAGTCTCCGAATTTATCAAGATATTGCGCTTGATTTGTGTAACTTTTTTCATATTCTAACCATGACTTATAGTTATTTTCTTGATAATTAAAAGTGTTTATATCACTAAGGGATAACATTCTATTTTATTTTAGTTTAGCTTAGTGTAGTTTAGTTTTATTTATTTATCTGAAAGAGAGAGCATAAGCAGGGAGACGACCAGAGGGAGAAGCAGACTCCTCGTTGAGCAGGGAGCCTGATGTGGGGCTTGATGCCAGGACCCTGAGATCATGACCTGAGCCAAAGGCAGATGCTTAACTAACTGAGCCACCCAGGCGCCCCAAGGGATAACATCCTAAATGGGTAATATATGTAATTCAATATATATGTACTTCAATAGGTAATTCAAATATATTTATTTTAATAAGTTATTTTCCAAACTGTTGGTTGTGAGCCATTAATAAATTGAAAAATGGAATTAGTGTATTATTCTTAACATTACTTAAAGGAATAGAACAGAATAGTGTAGAGTAGAATAAGTAGAGATGTATCATCATGACACTGGATGCAATGTATTGCAATAAATTGTAGATAGATTAAGGACTGTTTCTTGAACTTTTGTTCAATAGTTTAAATTGTATAAGTACATTTTATTTTTATAAGAACTATAATAATTTCTTATTCACAGTCAAAAAGTTTTGAAATCCATGAATCCCAGAACACTTATGCCTTCACTTATGACCCTTGGTAAAACTTGCCCTTTACTCCTACCTTTTTCTTGATTTCACCCATCCCAGTAGGAAGGATAAGTTCTGAGAGCAGTTAAGGATTAAAGAAAGTTAATAAATGTGATGGAGCCTCCATATTGAACCATAGAGACTTCTAGGAATAAATGAAATGGTGATCAATTTTTGTTGTTTACATCCTGGGTTCTTTGTGGCTGGTGTTGTGAGATAAGATAAAGAATAAATAGAAACAGAATATAGACC